TCCTCCTCCTCCTCCTCCTCCTCCTCATCCTTCCCCTCCTCCCCTTCGGGCGAGCTGGGGAGCCAGCCTATTGGGGCCCTCTTGGGCTCTTCCAGGGCCCTCGGGGCCTTCTTGGCCGTATTGGTGCCGTCTGGGGGCCATCTTGGGCCGTTTGGGGCCCCTTTTGGGCGCCTCTGGGGCCGTCTTGGGATGATCTTTGGGGCCTCTTAGGCTGTCTTGGGCCCGTCTGGGGGCCCTCTTGGACCGTTTCGGGCCCGTTTGGGGCGCCTCCAGGGCCGTCTTGGGACGATGTTTGGAGCCTCTGGGCCGTCTTCGGCCCGTCTGGGGAAGAAGCGGGCCATGGGGGCCGGCCGGGGGCCGCTTCACTAGAAAAAATACAAAGGAAACGGGCGATTAGACCAAAACGTCCGGTCCTCGCCCCTCCCCTGGACCCCTCCCTAGAAGGGCTTCGCCCCCTGCTCAACGTCACTCGCTCGTACCTCGCTCTTTCCGTCATCTGTGAAACTGTCGCCACTTTCGAGGCTTGCTGGGGGGCCCAGCACAGTGACGCCACGCGCGGACCCAAAGTAGACCTCGCCATCCCTGGGGGGCTGCGATCTGTGAAGCTGTCGCCACTTTCGAGGCCGGCTGGGGGGCCCAGCACAGTGGCGCCACGGGCGGACCCAAATTAGACCTCGCCATCCCTGGGGGGCTGCGATCTGTGAAGCTGTCGCCACTTTCGAGGCCTGCTGGGGGGCCCAGCACAGTGACGCCACGCGCGGACCCAAATTAGACCTCGCCATCCCTGGGGGGCTGCGATCTGTGAAGCTGTCGCCGCTTCCGAGGCCTGCTGGGGGGCCCAGCACAGTGACGCCACGCGCGGACCCAAATTGGACCTCGCCATCCCTGGGGGGCTGCGATCTGAGATCCCCGCTTTCGAAGTGGCTAGGGTTGCTCAGGGATTGTAACTAATCAGCTTTATCTAGTCCTTGTCCTGTAGCCAGTGTCCTGCGAGTCTCCCGAATTCCGTGTGCAGGTATATGTAACCCTCGCTCCGTCATCGCCCCCCTTTAAAAAGTGTCCTAAACTATTTGCGCCCCGCGTTTGCGCAGGGGTTGGGTACGGTGCCAGGGTAATTGTGAGGAAGTGTTGAGCGACGTCGCAAACTTCTGGTCGCCCCTGAAAATGTCCGGTCGTCTTGGAAGCGACCTTTTTTTCCCAACCGTTTTGAATAAGGGACTATGGTATCCACCTTCCTTCCTCCCGCCTCCCTCCCTCCTCCTGCGTCCTGCGTCCTGCTTGATTCCCAACCCTCCTAGGTTGGGTATTCGTTTTGAATAGAGCGCTGCTCGCGCGTCTCCTCCCGCCTCCCTCCTGCCTCCTGCCTGCCTCCTCCAGTCTTGCCTGCGGGCGGCTGCGATCTGTGAAACTGTCGCCACTTTCGAGGCCGGCTGGGGGGCCCAGCACAGTGGCGCCACGCGCGGACCCAAATTAGACCTCGCCATCCCTGGGGGGCTGCGATCTGTGAAACTGTCGCCACTTGCGAGGCCTGTCTGGGGGCCCAGCACAACGACGCCACGCGCGGACCCAAATTAGACCTCGCCATCCCTGCATGGGGGGCTGCGATCTGTGAACCTGTCGCCACTTTCGAGGCCTGCTGGGGGGCCCAGCACAGTGACGCCACGCGCGGATCCAAATTAGACCTCGCCATCCCTGGGGGGCTGCGATCTGTGAAGCTGTCGCCACTTTCGAGGCCTGCTGGGGGGCCCAGCACAGTGACGCCACGCGCGGATCCAAATTGGACCTCGCCATGCCTGGGCGGCTGCGATCTGTGAAGCTGTCGCCACTTTCGAGGCCTGCTGGGGGGCCCAGCACATTGACGCCACGCGCGGACCCAAATTAGACCTCGCCATCCCTGGGGGGCTGCGATCTGTGAAGCTGTCGCCACTTTCGAGGTCTGCTGGGGGGCCCAGCACAGTGACGCCACACGCAGATTCAAATCAGACCTCGCCATCCCTGGGGGGGCTGCGATCGGTAAAACTGTCGCCACTTTCGAGGCCTGCTGGGGGGCCCAGCACAGTGAGGCCACACGCAGACCCAAATTAGACCTCGCCATCCCTGGGGGGTTGCGATCTGTGAAAGTGTCGCCGCTTTCGAGGGCTGCTGGTGGGTCCGGCGGAGTGAGGCACCGCGTTGACCTGAGCGGGACCTGGCCGTCCCTGGGGGGCTGCGATCTGCGAAATTGTCGCCGCTTTTGAGGGCTGCTGGTGGGTCCTGCGGAGCGAGGCGCCGCGCGGATCTGAGCGGGACCTTGCCGTCCCTGGGGGGGGTCTGCTATCTGCGAAACTGTCGCCACTTTCGAGGGCTGCTGGTGGGTCCTGCGGAGTGAGGCACCGCGCAGATCTGAGCGGGACCTCGCCGTCCTCGGGGGGCTGCGATTTGCGAAACCATCGCCACTTTCGAGGGCTGCTGGTGGGTCCTGCGGAGTGAGGCACCGCGCGGATCTGACCGGAACCTCGCCGTCCCTGGGGGTCTGCGATCTGCGAAACCGTCGCCGCTTTTGAGGGCTGCTGGTGGTTCCTGCGGAGTGAGGCACCGCGCGGATCTGACGGGAACCTCGCCGTCCCTGGGGGGCTGCGATCTGCGAAAGTGTCGCCACTTTCGAGGGCTGCTCGTGGGTCCTGCAGGAGTGAGGCACCGCGCAGATCTGAGCGGGACCTCGCCGTCCCTGGGGGTCTGCGATCTGCGAAACCGTCGCCACTTTCGAGGGCTGCTGGTGAGTCCCGCGGAGTGAGGCACCGCGCGGATCTGAGCGGGACCTCGCCGTGCCTGGGGGGCTGCGATCTGCGAAACCGTCGCAATTTCGAGGGCTGCTTGGAGGGCAGCATAGCGATCTGCGGAACTGTCGCCACTTTCGAAGGCTGCTGGCGGGTCCAACGGAGTGAGGCACTGTGGAGATCTGATCGGGACCTCGCCGTCCCTTGGGGGCTGCGATCTGCGAAACCGTCGCCGCTTTCGAGGGCTGCTGGTGGGTCCTGTGAGGTGAGGCACCGCGCAGATCTGTTCGGGACCTTGCCGTTCCTGGGGGGTTGCGATCTGTGAAAGTGTCGCCGCTTTCGAGGGCTGCTGGTGGGTCCTGCGGAGTGAGGCACCGCGCAGATCTGAGCGGGACCTCGCCGTCCCTGGGGGGCTGCGATCTGCCAAATTGTCGCCGCTTTCGAGGGCTGCTGGTGGGTCCAGCGGAGTGGGGCACCGCGCAGATCTGAGCGGTGCCTCGCCGTCCCTGGGGGGCTGTTATCTGTGAAACTGTCGCAACTTTCGAAGGCTGGCGGCGGGTTCAGCGGAGCGAGGCACCAGGCATATCTGAGCGAGACATCGCAATCCTCGGGGGGCTGCGAGCCTCACGAATGCCGCTCGCAGAAGTTATATGCGCCCATGTAACGTCATCACCTCCGTATAACGTCTCCCAAGCTACTCATGCCCCGCATTGCGCAGGGGTTGGGTACGTCGCCAGGGTAATTTTGGGGGGAGTAGGCGGAATGCGAATTTCCAGTCGTCGCCCCATGTGGCGGTTATCATATTAAAGGGGATGAGGCATGGACCGGAAATCCGCGATGGCGGTCTTTGGAACATTGTGCCACGGCCCCGCGGCCTAACGGGGCCCGTCCACGCTGAGTTTCCGCGACCTCTGCGGTCCGGGCTTTTTAATCGGCGGGGTTGTAGTCAGGAGGGTCGAGAATCCTGAGATGAGTCTGGTTCTCGACCTATGACTGAAACATTATTCGCACTTTGCAACATGATCGCTTTGTCGTGAAGGTGGGCCTGTCCACATCGAGTCAACGCTTCTTCGGGCGAGCTTGGCACTGAGCTGCAGATGCGTGCTAAGGCGTTTTCACCCGTGTTTGAGGTGCACTTCAATGCCCACGCACGGATGGAAGTCGCCTGGCGGCCCGGTCTGTTTCGGTGGTCGTGATCACTTGTTTTTTGCTTCGTGAGTATTAGCTACGCAGGCTGTGATCGGCACGTCCTCTGTAATTCTTCGCTCCTCCAGTGCGACATTGTCTTTAGCTAGATGTGTGTAAAGCCTTGCGACTCTGCATGTTTCCGTCCAGCTTCTGTTTTGATTCTTCTTGTGGTCGTGCGGTGTCCCATTTGTTTTGCTCTACCGTATCTTCTCTCTCTCCATCAGGAGTGCAGAGGGTTTGCCGTTGGTGCCATCTGATCGCGCGAAACATGTATTTGGCCGCTCTCTGTAGACGCGACGGATTCGGATCGAGACTCAACTTTTGTTAGAGTCCGCCGCCATCGTCATTGCCATCGTCCCCCTCCAGAGTCCGCAGAGGAATATCAGGCCTTTGGACGTCCTCGCAACGTGTGGACAAGTATGTACAGAGGGAAACATCACATGTCAATTTGAGTGTTGACCTTATGCATGATTTGCGCCCGCGGAAGTACATCGTCGTACAGCTTTGCCAGGCTCCACGCGCATTCCGCGTAAGACTTGAGTGAGTTACTGGGTGAGTTATCGTCGTCCTCCTCTTCATCTTCGTCGTCACGGTCAGTGTCACCCTCACTCGTCGCAGTCACCACAGCCCACTGCCGAGCATCCCTGTCAACTCTGCCTCCCCTGTCGCTGCCGCCGTCGTCCGCGACACCCGCGCCAGAGGCTCTGGGCGTGCGCCTTCGCGCGCTGGGGGTCAGGGATTCGCACCTGGAGAGAATCTGTGGCGCGCGCACCAGGGGGTGGCGCGAGGGTGGCCGCCTTCAGAGACGCCGGGGTGACTTCTCAGAGGGCAGGGGGCTGCTTAGAAGGCATCCCGGCTCAGTGGAGGCCTGCTCAGACGCCTGCTGGCCCTTCTGAGCAGGCCGCTGCTCTCCAAGAGACCCCGCCCCCTGTCAGCAGGCCGCCCCCCCCGCGCCCTCCCTGTGCGCGAGCCGCCCAGAGAAGGCGATGTGCTCTGGGAGCTTCCAGCCGCTGCCAGGGAAGAGGCTTGGGTCATCGAGTCCCAGAGGCAACACGCATGACAGAGTCCTATGTCGTCGGGTTCAGGATCTTCGATGGAAAAAGCTTGCGCACGGAGGACGGCAACCCGTGTGACCCCTACGTGAAAGTGCAGTGTCATGACCAGACTTACTGGTCGAGCACGGTCGAAAACCGAGATGCTTTCGTCCCGTGGAATGAGACCAACATTTGGCCTACAGTCGAAATGTCTTCCAGAGAGTTTGAGACGGCGACCATCGAGTTTTCAATCTATGCGAAGTACTGGTTCACCAGGGATTTTCTGATTGGAAAAACTACACTGCAGTTGTCCTTCATCAACCAGCGAAGGCACCATCTTTATGCTAGGAAATGGTTGCCCTTACAGCGGGAAGATACCACCGAATGCACGGGTATGCTCAACGTCAGCGTGTTTGCCTTGAAGCCAGGGGAGCAGGTCGGAATATTGAAAACATATGTTGATGCTTTGTGTCGCGATTCTGTGACTGTAATCAGTGACGATGTCAGAATCCTACCCCCGCCGTCCATCGATTTGCATTCGCAGGGTTTCACCAAGTGGGGTTCACTTCGCTCGTGCCCTCTCGCAATTTCCGAACCTCTGCCCGCTCCCTGGGACCCCGTTGGATTTGGACTCGTAGGGGAATGGCTCACATGTGTTTTCCGACTTCTCGATTATTAAGTTAAACGTGGACTTCGTGCCGTGGGTGACGTGCGTTCAACGCTGTGCGCGACTATCTGTGCTTGAGTTGCTGCGGAGGGTTTATCCGAATCTTGGTGCTGCTTCTGCTGTACTGCTTCTGTCCTGCCCACTACGCGTAGTTCCAGCCACAAACTGATGCGGTAAGGGAGCACTTGTTGACGTTTCAGGTTGTAGTATTGTGACCAATCGAGAAGGATCTCATGATGTATGTCTTGCACCTGAAGAGTGTAAGGGAAACCTGATCGATATCTTCCCCGTTTACGTTTTCCACCTTGCCCCCCTAAGCATGTATATGTACCCAGCTGCCTGCGGCAAGCCCCGCCACCGTGCCTGTGCAAAAGCGCAGCGGTAAGGAGTTTGAAATTCTTCACGATTATCCCGACCAGCCCATCCAGGAACGATGCCCAGCGAGGCTGCGCTTATCGGGGGAGCGTGGCATCATTTGGGGAGCTCGGGGAGCCTCCGTGGGCCAGAGGCTTCTTGGATGCCTCTCGGAGACTTTTGGGATGTCTCTCGGGGTCTCTTGGAGGCTGCTTGGGGCGTCTTGGGGGCCTCCTGGCGGCTCTGGGGGGCCTTGGAGCGCCTTAGGGGCTTCTTGGACGCCTCCGGGGACGTCTTAGCGGTATCCAGAGCAACCTGGGTCGTCTTGGGATGCCATCCGGGGCTTCTTGGGGCCTCTCGGAGGCCGCCCGGAGGCCTCTTGGGACCTGCTGGGGTGGGGCCCATTTTGACCCCCGTCGCGCGGCCTGTTTGATCCCCCTCCGGGGGAGGTTGTTTTCCGCCCTTTCTGTTTTTACCTGTGCCCGACTGTGGACAAGTGACCCACACCTGGATCTGGAGAGGAGGGGTGAGACCACTGACCAGACAGCAGAGGAGCATGTCGGAGAGAGCGAGGCACGAGAGGTAACGTTCTGGTGGGGCGAAGCGGGCTTGGATGACACGCCGCCCCAAAAGACGGCCCAAGAGGCCCCCCAAAGTGACCATGAGGTTCCCAAGACGGTTAGAGGTCGAATTCCGCGACGGCTGCAAGATGGCCTCAGATGGCCTCAAGACGGTCCAAAGGGACCCAAGACGGCCAAAGAGGCCCTCAGGAGGACCTTCCAGAGGGTCCCAGGAGGCCAAGAATATTTATCCTCTTGCCAAGGGTGTCTAGAGCTCCGACCACCTTACTTCGGCACTCTCGCACGGCGCCGGCACCGCGCCCCCCCCCTCGCATCCCAGCCAGCGCGCCCTCTCCGCCCCGACCGTTTCATGTCGGCATGCACGCACAGCACCAGCACCGCGCCCCTCCTCTCTCCCCGCCAGCACAGCCCCCCCCCTCGCCCCCCTGCCGGCGCACCCCCTCCGTCCCGACTGTTTTATTTACGTCGGCGTGCACGCACGGCACTCGCACCGCGCCCCCCCCCCTCTCTCCCCCAGCCAGGCCAGCTCCCCTCCGCTCCCCAGCCAGCGCGCCCCCCCTCCGTCCCGACCGCTTGCTTTCGGCACGTGCGCACGGCACCAGCACCGCGACTCCCCGTTGCCCCCAGGCCACCCGAGCTCCCCCTCCGCCCCCCAGCCGGCGCGCCTCCTCCGCCCCGACCAATCTTTCTTTCGGCACGCGCTCGCGGCGCCGGCACCGCGCCCCTCCTCGCCCCCAGCCAGCTCCCACTCGCTCCCTGGCCGGCGCGCTCCCTCCGCCCCGACCACTTTGTTTCGGCAGTTCGGGAGGTCCTCGGAGACACTTCTGTACCAGGGTCTGTGTTCGGGAAACGTCTTTCGGCTGACCCATTGTTAGGAGGCCCCAGGAGGCCGACCGTTCTTCTCGACGTTCCCGCTGTGTTTTCTGCCGGGTGGTAACTTGTGGCGTGTTCTACCGCACTGTGTTGGCGATGCTAGCGATGATGGAGACAATTGTGATTGTGATGACGATGTCGTTCATACGACTGTTACGATGATGCGGTACTGGTACATATCGAAGTCGACCGTCTCACTTTCTCTCTCTGTCTCTGTTTCTCTTTCTCCTTAGTTTGTTCATACCTCGTTGTGGCTATCTGTCGCCGCTCTATCGCTCACAAGTTTAACCTATGTTAGCTTCCCGTTTTTGCATAATTCATTTCTTCTGCATGCTCCTCCTCGTCCCTTCTATATCTCGGTCAAGGGTGGGGGCGTTGCAGTTGCGCTCTCTCTCTCTCTCTTTCTTTCTCTTTTTCTCACTGTCTATTTGTTGTTTTGTCCTGTTTTCTTTCGGGCCTCTCCCAAGAAATTTGGGCCATTCGGGCGTTGTGACACCTAGAAACAAGGCATGAGCAGGGCGATTGCGAAGGCGATGTGCCATCCGGGCTGGAGATGCTGAAGTGCCTCGGACGAGGCGTTGTCAATTCCCCTCGGCGGGAAATCTGGGTAAGGAATAGGCAGCCCATATCGCTCCATGAGGAGGGAGCTATCCTGGTGGATGCATGCGGCATTGTATATATATGTATAGGTATCTAAACAGAATATATGGTCTTGACACTATAGCACGATCTTCTTCTTAAGACACTATCCATTCAGTCTCTCGGGCAAAATAAATTATGTCTTGCGGGCCCTTTACGCATTCATTATTAGTGCGTGGAGTACAATTAAAATGTCTGTGTGCAGAGCTGCAGTCGGATTCCTTTTGCATGCTACTGTCAAGGTAAGGTCCACTGTGGATTGCACATCGCATCCTTGTGTAAGGATATGCAGCAGGGTTCTTAGTCAGAAATCGGCGCAGTATACTGCATCTTAGAACCTGTGCGAGATTTCATTACTATAGCGGATCGGAGAGGGCGATCTGGCAGGACAGCGCGCACCGCAAGACACAACGAAACACACAGAGCAACACAGAAGAAACAACACGGGAAAGTTGCAAAGAACAGTCGGCCCCAGGAGGCCCCAGGAGACGCTGGGCGGCCTTACATGGCCTTCTGGGACGTTGTTCTGCCCTGGGATCTGTGTTCCAGGAGTGCTTTTCGGCCCCCCGTAGGTCTTCGCCCTCGTAGGCTTCGTTCGCCCCCGTGGTTTCGCGGCCCCGTTTTCTGGGGCTCGAGTCGTTTGTGATATAGTGTTACTATATCTTGCCTCTCGACGGGGGCTCGAATCCTTCGTCTTTTACGTGTGTTACGGTATCTATCTTTCGACTGGGGCTCGAATCTTGAGTGCTTCTGATCTGTTCCAACTTTTTGCCCCTCTCCTGAGGCTTGGGTCCTTCGTGTTTTGAACCTTTACCGCTCTCCATCGTCGCGTGTGTGTGTGTGTGTGTGTGTGTGTGTGTGTGTGTGCTTTCTTTTTCTTCTTCTCCCTCCTTGTCCCTTTGTTTTAATGTCAGACGCAAAGGGGTGGTGCTTCGATTTTTTTTCCTTCAAGAGTTGTGCCGTGCGAACTGAAAGTGGGAATGTGCCTCGGGACAGGTGTTGTCTCGACCTTCTTGGGCGGGATACCTGGGTGCGGGAATAACGCCCGCCCTTTTCATTTAGTTCCTCTCCAGGAGCGGTTGGCTCATGACGGATGCATGTAGCATGTAGAAGCATGGCGCGTGAGACTGACATCATCGCTGTTGTTGTTTGTTGTGGTTGTGGTTGTTGTTGTTGTTGTTGTTGTTGTTGTTGTTGTTGTTGTTGTTGTTGTTGTTGTTGTTGTTGTTGATCAGCTCACATTATTAGATTTTTGTGTTGTCCCTCCTCCCTTTCGGCGCACATCGTTTTTTTCAATTCTAGACGCTTCGCGTCCGGGCATCCCCACCATTCTCACTGGCCTGGGCATCCGGTTCCAGGTCCCTGGCTGCCCCAAGTGCCCTATCGCCACTTCGCGTGCGATTGCAGCCAGAGCCCACGTCCTTGACGACCTGTGGGGCCCGCCCCACTCACGACAGAAGGCCGGAAGAAGGTGGAACAAACTCGCGAAATGGGCACGGGAATTTCCGCCGCGGCAAGGGCCCTTCAGACCCGACTCCAAGGTTTTGACCGATTCCAGGGCAGCCGACTTCTTCAATCGAGCGGTGAGGGAGCCTCGTCGATTGCGGGCTCGCTACTTCGGTCGGGTGGTCTATTTCGCGGCCTGGTCGCAGTACATGGACACATCGTTGACAAATGGTTCACCGCAACCAGTGTCGAGCGCAGTTGGGCGCAGACAGATGGCGCGGAATGGTCTCTCCTGGGACACTGTGCATCTTTCACCGAGGCACACCACGTCCTCTGGCTTCTGGCCAACGGGCTACCCGGTTCTGCGCGACGGCGAAGCGTGGCAGACAGGATCCCCCACCAGTGCAGCTGCGGCGGACCTGCCAAGAGAGTGTGGTTCACCGCGGGCCAGCGAGACGACGGACAGGCCTGGTGTGACACCTGCGTTAGGACCTGGAGGGGTGAGGCCGCCCTCTGGCCTCTCCTAGACGACGACGCCCTCCCCGAAGACCTGCGCGCACTTGCTGCCGAGCGAAGAAGACACCATGCTAGCATTAGCGCCTCCATGAGGCAAGGGCTCTACGGAGTCTGTCCACTCTGTGGCCTTGGAGAAGCCACAACCGAGCACGTGTGGTGCTGGTGCCCCGCGGCTGCCCTTGCCTGGGAAAAAACCAGAGCCCCGGACCATCCCAGGGACCTGGCCACGGCAATGTGCACTAGGGGACAAGACCAGAGGCTAGTCTGCCGACTGTTGCACCAGATCTCCTTCAGGTACTGTGTGAACTTGGACTGCACCCCCATTGGTGCTGACGAAGCCGCCAGATTCATTGTCCAGGG